TCACTCTCCCTTCTTTTTCTTCTTCATCTCTTCTGACCCAAGAAGTTCTTCCAATATCTTATCATCCAAACACTCAAACTCAAATATTGGCCTGGAAGAACTTCCACTAGCATGATGAGATGAGGTGTAGGAAGGTGGTGCCAAATGAGGTGGATATGGTGGTGAACCTCTTATTTTAGAATAGTATTCGCTAGGAAAATTCAAAATTGCAAGATGACCCCTCAAATTAAAAGCTGCCTTATCATAAGCTCTTGCTGCTTCTTCAGCTGTGTCAAATGTCCCTAGCCATATCCTTGTTCCTTGTTTGGATGGATCCCTTATCTCCGCCGCGTACTTCCCCCACGGCCTCCTTCGAACACCGCGGAAGCGAACCTCCTCCTTGTTCTTCTCCTCCTTGCCTTGCTTTCCCTTTTGGTGATCCTCCATATGGTTTCACTTGTTTGATTTTGTACGGTGAATTTTGTGTGATTAGCAAGATGCTTATATAGATAACTAATTAGTGTGTGTGCTAAAATATGTCGAATCTATGAGAAAAATAGTGATTCTCAATCGCAATCTAGAAAGGTACATTGACCAAGATTTGTTTCAAAGGTGCTATTGAAATAGTGTTGTAAAAATTTGATTCTTTAGACAATGTATAGGTTTAGATTTTGATTTTGAATTATACTCCGTAATCGTAATTGCATATGCAATATTGCTGATGAAACTTTTGTAACTATATTTAATCGCAATTGCAATGTGAATTAAAATCATAAGTCTGTCTATAGTTAAAAATCATATTAGATAATTTTGTTTATTTTTTCAAATATTTTTATTAAATCTCAAAAACTCAATTTATTTTCTACGCAATGAAAAATATTAACATTAATGTTTTTTAGTCAAAGATCTCTCAATTAAAATTCACTTCACAATGCCATGCGCATTATAACAACAGTAATGATCACAATTACAATATCCACATTCACATCCCTAATCGTATGAGGATTTAAATCCATGTTAACTTGTTTATGGTGTAATACTGCAATCTAATGCGCACTATAATAACAGTAATGATCATAATCACAACACCCGCAACCGCATCACTATAATAACAGTGATGATCATAATCACAACACCCGCAACCGCATCAGTGAATGCAACTGCAATTTAAAATCATATCATGTGACTTGCAACAAACTTGTTTCACATGAATACGCAACTTGGTAAAAATCTTTTCAAACATTTTACCACTAAGAATGAGAATAAAATAGATTTTCAGACAATGTATCCATATATAGTTCACCCATTAACGTCACTGTTTTTCAGCTTTTATTCCAAGCACTTTTTATGAACGAGTATAGGGACAGTTTTATGCCCCCACATGTTTTTTAGAATCCACAAATTATGCAGTAGAGGTAGAGATGACTAGATCATAGGATTAGATAAAAACTTTAAATTGTGATTACTACAAGAATTTAATTTCTAATCACCGAAATGGTGACATTTTTATCAATATATTCACATCGATAAAATCTTACTTATAACAACATATCTAATCCATATTCAACACATCAAAAAAACATATCCATCCTCTATACAAAAGGAAATTAATAGATTTGATTCAATTGATTCATTTATTTTCTAAATCTATTTAGAGATTATTTTTGGGTTTAAAGCTATACATGTCAAATATTTGGTTTTGAGAATTTAATTACTAAGTTGTGGGTTTTGTTCTAAGATTCAATCCGTTCAAAAAATTTCATTTTATTCAAGTTCAGTCCGGTGTTAAAAGATTATTAAGGTTGGAGATCAATTTGGTATAAAATCTCATAAATTTTTAGTTAATTTGTTATAAAACTGCAATTAGGTTCATGAGTTCAGTTCGGTGCTAAAAGCTTTTTTAGATTCGAGATCAACCCATATAAAATTTAGGTTTTAAAGCTTAAAGACTAATCTCTTCAAGTTTTTTGTGGAAAGAATACTTACCGCTTCAATTCACCGTTTGGAAGGAAGACTCGCCGCTTCTCTTTTTGTTTGCTGTTTGGTTGGAAGTTATCCATAAACTTTAATATTCTTGTATAAGAGGGTTTGATAGTTCATCCTACTAAAAACTCTTAAGTTTTATTGAATACTTTTAAAATCAAATTTCGGTACAAGACTACGTCTTTTTTAACTAAATCTGTATAATTCATAGTTTGTTCTTTCTTCCTTTAACTTTAACTTTCTACATTTTCCTTCCTGAACTTTATTTTTCACTACTTATTTTCAATCAATTTCTAAAATTATTTAAAACTTTGATCAATTCTAAAAAAAATTCATAATCAAATTTTTTTGAAACACATAATTCACACCCTCACCCCTCTTATATGTGAAGTCACATGTCAAACAAGTCGCATAAGAGCTTAACTCCTATTTAAGGAATAATCGTCTCAGGAGAAAGATGACTTCTAACACATTTTTAAAGTGATATTTTCTAAAGACACCACCATCTTTTAGTAGTAGTTGGTTTGAACTATGGAAAGCTAGGTTTAGATTATTTATTAAAAGTATTAACTATAAATTATGGGAAACTATAATCAATAGTCCGTGTTAGTGCATTTTTCAATCTAGCCATATTTTTAATGATGTCAAAGCTAGGAGTCTGACTTAGCGTTTTTGTATATTGGACGGTATCAACCAAAGTCTATATATGCATTGAATCATTTTAGAATTAGAATGCATACAAATGTTTTTGAAAAGGGTTGAAAAGCCTTAGGCATGCCATACACATCAAAAACCAAGTTTCATGTGTGAACATAAGGGCATAGGTCGACACATACAAGTTCAGGCCCACCTATAGAAGTTTTTGCTTTAACATAGACCGTCGCATAGCTCTTATAAGCTATCCTCCATGCATCAATATTAAAGCATGTGGGCTCTGTCCATAGGTCGACTCACTCGAGCCGACCTGAACACCTTGACAGACCGTTCTATTTCTTTCATAGACTGACCTGTAGCTTTCAAAAACTTAAAATTTTGTTTTGCATCTTATTTTTCTTGCATCCTCTTTGCTTATTTCCACACACACACACACACACACACACACACACACACAGATATATATATATATATATATATATATATATATATATATATATATATATATATATATATACACACACACACACACACACACACACACACACATACACACACACACACTCACTCATACATGCACCTTTTTGTAGCAAGGTACTAGTGTAAAACCCAAACGAAACCATATTACAAAGCATTTCCATCATCTTTAGCCTTTCTTCTATGCATACACACAATCAAACTACACATAATCATTTTTTGATTAGGTGATCATCTAGATTAGGGTTGATAACATCCAATTAGGTTGGTGTAACCGAGAATATTGGGTTGCGATCTTTGTGTGTTTCAAATAAGAAAACCAAGGTGGGGTTTTCCTTCAAGAACATTGTTATTTGAATGTTTTTGACAAGATCACGTCAACACGTATTTGACCGAGTGAAGGCCTTGGGACAAGGTAATTTCCTTGCAAGGGAGTAGCACGATACAGTGAATCATGTTCGGGAATCTTGGGTTCAGTAAGTGCGTGCTTGAGATAATCGGTGGATTATAGACACATTTTTGGTGACTTGATCAAGCTTTAATCAAGGGTTTGGAGGTGATTTGATAAACAATAAACCATAGGGTTTGTGGGGTTAGAGTTCTTCACCTCTTGTATAAACATTTTTTTTACAAAGATAAGGTTAATTGCAGATATCTCAATTCAAATTTATATTGAGGGAAGACGTACCCATAACGAGGTCGATTGGGGAACTGCCTAAATAAATCTTTGTGTCTCTTTACCTCTTTATTGCTTTATCTCTTTAATTATTGTTCTTGCAAATTATCAATTTCGTTTTTGTTTCAATTGATTCGATTGGAAATTATTTTCAACTATCTTTTAAAGTGTTTTTGTTGATATAATCTTAATCACTTTGACTTTGATTGGCTTTTAACATCAATAAAACAAATTGATATAATCTTAATCACTTTAACGGCAAGGCACCTGTCATGCAAATGCAAACACGTATCCATGCATTAGGAGGAAGTCCCCCTAGATTCTAGCTTCCGAGACAAATAAAGTCTACCGTCCAATCATGGAAAGAAAACCCTCATATATATATAAGAGAAAACCCACGAGGGTGACGTACCACAGTAACTGAATACAACTGAAGCAACAATCGTGACCCCAACCAACAGGCCTGGTGGTGATCAGCATATCAATGCAGAAAATGTACAAAGAAATACAAAGAAATCAGGTGCGGCTACGGGCACGGAAATCCTCAAGTAACTTCTTCGTATCGGGATGATCAAGCTGGGTGAGCAGACCCTGGATCAGCAGGTCCCTCTGCCTAATGATATCTGGGAGGTTCTCGACAACGCTCCTAGAAACACCTTCTTCAGAACGGTTCTCCACCCTACTCCTCTTAGCGTCAGCCCGGAGTTGACAATCCATCAGGTTTGCCTTGGCCTCAACCAATCTATACTGGACGTCTCGCCGCAGTGAGGCTTCAGCCTCTATCTTCTTGTCTTTGGCCTCAATCTGAGCTTCTAACTGGGCTATCTGCTGCTTCAGTTTTTCTTCCCGCTCCTTGTGGCTAGTCAAAGTGTTGTTCCACAACTTCTCGTACTGGGTCAACTTCCGGTATGCCCTATCCAGCTCCTACTTCTTGGTGGTCAACACGCCATGTACTGACTTCAGGTCCAATCCAAGATGTTCCCTAGAGTCAGTCTCTTTGGTCAAATTAGCGCCCAGGTGGTTGATCAACTCTGTCTGTTTCTTGCAGGCGTGTACGACTTCGTTCTTTTCTCTTCGGAGTTGAGCGGTCTCGTTTTCCAGCTCTTCGTTGGCTTTGAATATCTCTTCATTCTTAGCTTGAAGCTGCTCATACTTCTGGATTTCAATCATGGTAGGCTCTGCAGGGCAGTCCTGCTTGACAGGAGAAAAAGGCATCAACACTTTTTCTGCTCTGCTATGAATCCAGTCCACATAAGGAGGGTAAGCCTGATTATTGCTCTTCCCCAACGAGGTCTTTCCCTTTCGGTGAACGTTATTCCAGGCATGTTCAAATCTAACCAGATCATCCCCTTCTAATGCACCAGTGAGGTACAGAGATTCCTGTACCTCTTCGTCCTTAGGAGGGCCCATGAAGGCATACCCGAATTGTCTGATAGCGATAGACGAATTATAGTTAATGTAGCCTTTCCTACCCACCAGAGGGACATTAGGAAAGTTCCCACAACTGTAAATGATTTCACTCCCCAGGCGGTCTCTATCAAACCAATCAATGTCTTCGGTAGACAAGCTCATCAGTCGCTCTGACCACTCTTTCGCCTCTGCAGTCTTTATAAAAGGAGGATCCTTAGGTAGATGAGTGATAAACCATCTGTAAAAC